TGAGGGGGTAACTGACAGGAGTTACAGGGAGGTAGTCACACCTCAGGTACAGGAAAAAAAGTAGATGGGTTACAGTCAGGGGACGGAAAGGGAACAGGCAGACAGTGCAGGGATCCCCTGTGGCCATTCCCCTCAAAAACAAGTATACCGTTTTGGATACTGTTGGGGGGGATGACTTACCAGGGGTAAGCCATGGGATACAGGTCTCTGGCGCAGAGTCTGTCCCTGTTGCTCAGAAGGGAAGCGGGGAGAGGAGGAGAGCATTAGTCATTGGGGACTCCATAGTTAGGGGGACAGATAGGAAATTCTGTGGGAACGAGAGAGACTCGCGGTTGGTGTGTTGCCTCCCAGGTGCCAGGGTCCGTGATGTCTCGGATCGTGTTTTCGGGATCCTTAAGGGGGAGGGGGAGCAGCCCCACGTCGTGGTCCACATAGGCACCAACGACATAGGTAGGAAAAGGGATGGGGACGTAAGGCAGAAATTCAAGGAGCTAGGGTGGAAGCTTAGAGCTAGAACAAACAGAGTTGTTGTCTCTGGTTTGTTACCCGTGCCACATGCTAGCGAGGCGATGAATAGGGAGAGAGAGCAGTTGAACACGTGGCTACAGGGATGGTGCAGGAGGGAGGGATTCAGATACCTGAATAACTGGGGCTCATTCTGGGGTATGTGGGACCTCTACAAACGGCATGGTCTACACCTGAACCAGAGAGGTACCAATATCCTGGGGGGGAAATTTGCGAATGCTCTTCGGGAGGGTTTAAACTAATTCAACAGGGGGATGGGAACCTGAATTGTAGCTCCAGTGTACAGGAAGTTGAGAGTAGTGAGGTCATAAATAAGGTTTCAAGGTCGCAGGAGTGTACCGGCAGGCAGGAAGGTGGTTTGAAGTGTGTCTACTTCGATGCCAGGAGCATCCGGAATAAGGTGGGTGAACTTGCAGCATGGGTTGATACCTGGGACTTCGATGTTGTGGCCATTTCGGAGACATGGATAGAGCAGGGACAGGAATGGTTGTTGCAGGTTCCGGGGTTTAGATGTTTCAGTAAGATCAGGGAAGGTGTGGCATTGTTAGTCAAGGACAGTATTACGGTGGCAGAAAGGACATTTGATGACAACTCGTCTACTGAGGTAGTATGGGCTGAGGTTAGAAACAGGAAAGGAGAGGTCACCCTGTTGGGAGTTTTCTATAGGCCTCCGAAAAGTTCCAGAGATGTAGAGGAAAAGATTGCAAAGATGATTCTGGATAGGATCGAAAGTAACAGGGTAGTTGTTATGGGGGCCTTTAACTTTCCAAATATTGACCGGAAACGCTATAGTTCGAGTACTTCAGATGGGTCAGTTTTTGTCCAATGTGTGCAGGAGGGTTTCCTGACACAATATGTAGATAGGCCAACAAGAGGCGAGGCCACATTGGATTTGGTACTGGGTAATGAACCAGGCCAGGTGTTAGATTTGGAGGTAGGTGAGCACTTTGGTGATAGTGACCACAATTCGGTTACGTTTACTTTAGCGATGGAAAGGGATCGGTATATACCGCAGGGCAAGAGTTATAGCTGGGGGAAAGGCAATTATGAGGCGATGAGGCAAGATTTAGGATGCATAGGATGGAGAAGGAAACTGCAGGGGCTGGGCACAATTGAAATGTGGAGCTTGTTCAAGGAACAGCTACTGCGTGTCCTTGAGAAGTATGTACCTGTCAGGCAGGGAGGAAGTGGTCGAGCGAGGGAACCGTGGTTTACTAAAGAAGTTGAATCTCTTGTCAAGAGGAAGGAGGAGGCTTATGTAGAGATGAGGCGTGAAGGCTCAGTTAGGGCGCTTGAGAGTTACAAGTTAGCCAGGAAGGACCTAAAGAGAGAGCTAAGAAGAGCCAGGAGGGGACATGAGAAGTCTTTAGCAGGTAGGATCAAGGAAAACCCGAAAGCTTTCTACAGGTATGTCAGGAATAAAAGAATGACTAGAGTAAGATTGGGGCCGGTCAAGGACAGTAGTGGGAAGTTGTGCGTGGAGTCCGAAGAGATAGGAGAGGTGCTAAATGAATATTTTTCGTCGGTATTCACACAGGAAAAAGACAATGTAGTCGAGGAGAATACTGAGATACAGTCTATTAGACTAGACGGGATTGAGGTTCATAAGGAGGAGGTGTTAGCAATTCTGGAAGGTGTGAAAATAGATAAATCCCCTGGGCCTAGGATTTATCCTAGGATTCTCTGGGAAGCTAGAGAGGAGATTGCAGAGCCTTTGGCTTTGATCTTTATGTCGTCATTGTCTTCAGGAATCGTGCCAGAAGATTGGAGACTGCAAATGTTGTCCCCTTGTTCAAGAAGGGGAGTAGAGACAACCCTAGTAATTATAGACCAGTGAGCCTTACTTCGGTTGTGGGTACAGTGTTGGAAAGGATTATAAGAGATAGGATTTATAATCATCTAGAAAGGAATAATTTGATTAGGGATAGTCAACACGGTTTTGTGAAGGGTAGGTCGTGCCTCACAAACCTTATTGAGTTCTTCGAGAAGGTGACCAAACAGGTGGATGAGGGTAAAGTGGTTGATGTGGTGTATTTGGATTTCAGTAAAGCGTTTGATAAGGTTCCCCATGGTAGGCTATTGCAGAAAATACGGAGGCATGGGATTGAGGGTGATTTAGCGGTTTGGATCAGAAATTGGCTAGCTGTAAGAAGACAGAGGGTGGTGGTTGATGGGAAATGTTCATCCTGGAGTTCAGTTACTAGTGGTGTACCTCAAGGATCTGTTTTGGGGCCACTGCTGTTTGTCATTTTTATAAATGACCCGGATGAGGGCGTAGAAGGACGGGTTAGTAAATTTGCGGATGACACCAAAGGAGTTGTGGATAGTGCGGAAGGATGTTGCAGGTTACAGAGGGACATAGATAAGCTGCAGAGCTGGGCCGAGAGGTGGCAAATGGAGTTTAATGCAGAAAAGTGTGAGGTGATTCACTTTGGAAGGAGTAACAGGAATACAGAGTACTGGGCTAATGGTAAGATTCTTGGCAGTGTGGATGAGCAGAAAGATCTCGGTGTCCATGTGCATAGATCACTGAAAGTTGCCACCCAGGTTGATAACGTTGTTAAGAAGGCGTACAGTATGTTAGGTTTTATTGGTAGAGGGATTGAGTTTCGGAGCCATGAGGTCATGTTGCAGCTGTACAAAACTCTGGTGCGGCCGCACTTGGAGTATTGCGTACAGTTCTGGTCACCGCATTATAGGAAGGATGTGGAAGCATTGGAAAGGGTGCAGAGGAGATTTACCAGGATGTTGCCTGGTATGGAGGGAAGGTCTTATGAGGAAAGGCTGAGGGTTTTGAGGCTGTTTTCGTTAGAGAGAAGAAGGTTAAGAGGTGACTTGATAGAGACATACAAGATGATCAGAGGATTAGATAGGGTGGACAGTGGGAGCCTTTTTCCTCGGATGGTGATGGCTAGCACGAGGGGACATAGCTTTAAATTGAGGGGTGATAGATATAGGACAGATGTCAGAGGTAGGTTCTTTACTCAGAGAGTAGTAAGGGCGTGGAATGCCCTGCCTGCAAAAATAGTAGACTCGCCCACTTTAAGGGCATTTAAATGGTCATTGGATAAACATATGGATGATAATGGAATAGTTTAGGTTAGATGGGCTTCAGATTGGTTTCACAGGTCGGCGCAACATCGAGGGCCAAAGGGCCTGTACTGCGCTGTAATGTTCTATGTTCTATGTTCTATTTATCACATCTTTTAGACATCACAAAAAGCTTCACAACCAGCAAATTCCCTTGAAGGTGTAGACATTGTTCCTTTGTGCATAAATGTAGCAATGGCATTTGTGCACAAACAACTTGACCAACAGATCATGTTTTGGTTGTGTTAGTTGAGCAATAAGTATTGGTTAGCATATGAGGAAAACTCACATACCAATCTTAAGGTAAAATGGGATCTGTAGCGATTGTAACAAGGTCAGCGAGGGGAACTCATAGAATGAGTTCCCTGATTGGACAAGATTAACAGTTCCAATCAGGGAGCCCTGGCTGACAGATATAAAAAAAGTGTCAGAGTTTCTGTTCATTCTGACAGCAGGCTCTGAGGAAGTTGGATCAGTGTCAAGGACACCCTAAGTGTGAATAAAGGGTGACTTGGTGACAGGATACCAGCCTTTCTGGAGTTATTTCAGGATCGTTTACAACCACCTGAACAATCAGGAAAGTCTCAGTTTAACTTTTCATCTCAATAATGCTATCTCCAACAGGACAGCACTTCTTCAGAAACTCGAAGTGTCAATCCAGATTGTGTGTTTGATTTTTAAAGTAAAGCTTTAATCCATACACTTCAGATTCAAGACACAAAAGTGCTACCATTGGGCTAGGGTGGCATTTCTGGAACAAGAACTAAATATGAAGAGACTTGATGTCACTCAAAACATATATCTTTTGAGTGTGCAGGAAGTATGATCAATGTTTTATTTATGCAGAGTCATAGTTGTATGTAAACAGTCTACTTTTCATGGAATTGTTTACACAAAAGGGAACACAAATTCAAAATTGATGTCTCACAGGAGATTTGAGATGACAAACCCGCCATCCCCCAAAAACTAATGTAAATAGAGAAAGAACAACCTAGCAAAAGCATCGGATTCAAGTCAAAACTAAGTCTCATTCTCTCTCTTCCCCTGTAACTGAAAAGAGATCCATAAGATACTAAGTTACACTTCCAATAATGGAATGGGGCCTGTTTTTTTTTTTTAAATTGAGGAACAGCAATTGGGAGTTGATGAATGGAAAAATGAGATAGCCAAACATAAAATTCTGCATCCTTGCACTTGTGTTATTCAATACTTCTCAACGGAAGAACGGTATCTTTCCCGGACCTAGGGCTTGTTCTGAAATGTGTTTTTAAATGTAAATTTCAAAGAGTTCATTCGAATTTGTATTTTTCAAAATTATGATTTTCAACACACATTGCACAGGGGCATACATATTGAATGTTTTGTGAAAGTATTAAAATAATTACCTGTTTCTTTATTTTGAGCATGAGCAGGGTATAAAGAACCTGTACCCCTAAAGGCATTCAATTCTGGATCAAAAGGTCCTATCATTCTGTTCCCAGCATTTAATTTTTCCCATGGTTCTGTCATCGATGCTTTGATGTTTCTTTCCTGATGTTGCAAATTACCATGTGAAAGATCATCCTCTGTCCTCAAGTACCTGCAAAAAGAGTAATCAATTCTTAGCCTCACATCTCCAAGTTTAAATATAGAAAAAGTATTTGCATTTCGAAAAGCACCTATTATGCCTTCAAGGTGTCCAAAGCACTTCGCAGAAAATAAACAAAAATTTTGGAATATAGTAATATGAAAAACTCGAACTAATTTTTGCGTGTTTCACAAATTACACTCAACAAAATAACCAGCAAATCCAGTTTCAGAGAAATTTGTTCAGCAACAAGTATCAGTCAAGGCCTTGGGAGAACTTCTATGGTCATTGAATAGTGTCACGGAATAATTTCTGTCTGTCTGTAAAGACAAATGAGGCCTACGTTTAACATCTCTCCCAAAGTACAGTAACTGTGCAGTATGCCACAATCTTAACACTGCAACAATTTAGCACCTTTAATGTTAGAAAACATCCAAAGGCACTTCACAGGAATGTTATCAAAATTAGAATACGAATGACACAAGATGATATTCAGAGAACAGACAGAAGAGTCAGCTTTTAAGGAGCATCTTAGAGAGAGATATATGGTGAGGCAAAGAGATTTATGGCAGATATTGCACAGCGTACTAATTACAAATGATTAAAATTAGGCACACACAAGAGGCTAGAATTCAAGCAGTGCCATCATCTCAAAGGCTTATATGGCTGAAGAAGTGAGTAATACAGGAAGGATTAAGGCTATCTAAGGATTGGACAAAAAAAAAAGAGAACTTTAAAATTTGAGGTGTTGCTGCATCATGAAAAATTGGATGGTGAGGAAAGGCTGTATATGATCAGCATGTCGAAACTGATATTATTATTTGGGAGCATTGCTGATGGGCAGCAGGTGATGGTGAAAACTAAAGGTGGGGTCCAAGAGTAGATCCTTGGAGGACAGGGCAGGCTGTCATTTGCAGGCGGTGACTGAACAGACAAGAATGGAACCAGGCAACAGAAGCTCCACTCATCATCAGAGGAGAGACATGCTTAGCCATGCTAAAGGCTGCAGGCAGGATAGTCAGAGGGAATGCCATTTGTGATTTCAGCAAGGATAGTTTCAGTAATAGTGATTGGGACCCAATAGGCAAAATTCAAACACAGAATTAGTGAAAAGATATGCATTGATTTGGAAGCTGATAACACATTTAAGGTCTGATCTCATTACCCTCAACTCCACTTCCTCGCCATTTCCCAATAACCCTTTATTTCCTTACTGATTAAAAATCTATCTTAGCCTTGAATATGCTTGGTGGCCCAGCATGAACTGCCCTCTGTGATAGATTAACAACCCTCAAAAGAAATTCCTCCTCATCTCTGTCTTAAATGTGCAACTTCTTATTCTGAGATTGTTTCCCACTGTGGGAGAGTCCAGTAACAGAGGACACAATCTTTCCAGACCCATCCTGTCAAGTTGTCTAAGAATCCTGTATGTTTCAATAAGGTTGCCCCTCATTCTTCTAGATTTCAATGAGTACAGCCCAATCTACTCAACCTCTCCTCATAAGACAGTCCCTCCATGCCTGGTATCAGCACAGTGAACCTTCTCTGGTCTGCATCCAATAGCCATATATCTTTCCTTCGATAGGCCCATAACTGTTCGCAGTATTTGAGCTGTGGTCTGACTAGTGCCTTGTATAGTTTTGAAAATCCTTCCTAACTTTTATACTCCATTCCATTTGAAATAAAGGCCCAAACATTGCATTCGCCTTTCCTATTACCTGCTGAACTTGTATGCTAATTTGTGTGATTAAGGAGTTCCAAATGCCTCTGGTCTGTAGCTTCCTGCAGTCTTCCTCTAAGTAATATTCAGCTCCTCTTTTCTTCCTGCCAAAGTGCATAACCTCACATTTCACATATTATATTCCATTAGCCAAATGTTTGCCCATCACTTAATCTGTTTATAGCCCTCTGCACTGTGTCATTCTCACCACTCGCCTTCCCACATATTTTTGCATCATCCGCAAATTTAGCAAAACTACATTCACTTTCTTCATCCAATTAAATAAATTATGGGCCCAACACTGATCCCAATGGCACACCACTAGTGACAGGTCACAAAAACAGAAATTGCTGGAGAAACTCAGCAGGTCTGGCAGCACTTGTGCAGAGAAAGCAGAATCAACATTTTGTATCTAATGACCTTCCTTCAAATCTCAAATGTTCAAGATTGATCGTGTTATGTATTTCTAAGTGCTCTAATACAGTCTTTATAACAGACTAACTTTTTACCAGAAACAGTGGAATGCACTGCTTGGTACTTGAGGCAAGAAACTTCACAACCTTTTAAAAAGTACTTGGATGAGCAATTGAAACATCATAACATTCAATGCTGTGGGTGCTGTAGAGCAGGATTAGTGTAGATTAAGAGTGTTTATTATCAGTGCAGAGTTGATGGGTCGAACAGCTCTTTTCTGTTCTATTATTCTATGAGCAGACATGAAAAACGCTGGCCCAGAGTTAGCTTTGTTTTTTTACTCCTTCTTTAAACGAGAACGTTTCAATGGCTGTTTTCCAATTCTCTGGGATTTTTCCAGAGGGTCAGGAGCTGTTGAAGATCACTACCAGCATATCCATTATCTCTGAAGCTACTTCCTTTAACATCCTAGAAGGTATCCCATCAGGTCCAGGAGGCATATCGGTCTTTAGTCCCACATTTCCCGCGCACTTTTTCTCTCGTGGAGGGCTGGTGTATTTATTTCCTCTCCTTCTTTTTCTCTGACTATTTTTGGGATGCTAGTGTCTTCTACTATAAAGACTGATGCAAAGTATTTATTCAATTCATCTGCCATTTCCTGGTTCCACATTGTTATTTGCCCCGCCTCATCCTCCAAGTTTACTTTGGCTTCTGCTCTTCTTTTCATATAATTTAAAGAAGCTGCATAATTGCAATTTGAATAATCTTCCTCTTCTTTCAAGGAATGTGAGCCTCGCTAACAACAGCATCATTTGTTGCTAATCCCTAACTGCCCTTGAGAAGGTGCTGCAGCTTCGTCTTGAACTGTGTAAGTCTAGCTGATGTATGTGTAACCACAGTGTTATTAGAAAGGAAGTTCCAGTTCCAAAACAATGAGTTTTGATAAATAACAAGTTAAAGGTAGATGTGTTATCTTAGTTTTTTCATTGCCAGTTTGACCATTACTGTTCTACTTACCTCAGCTCTGCCCTCACAACCTAATTCTCATCCGACTTCATCAATTTTCACACTAATAGGTTCTCAATTCATAGTTTTTAGTTTGTATGAAAGTTTACACTTGAAATAAAAGATTCTATATTTTTCAAATGCTAAAATAAGTATTTTCAGAATTTGCTCTGATCAAACTCCTAATACGTTTTACTTTTTGCTTGGTAATGTATGAAGTCTAAAGGTGGGCAAGCAAATTAGTCACCAAACTAATTCCTGCAACGGAGAGATTGCCTAATGAGGGAAAGTTAAAAAGACTGGGCCTATATTCTGTGGTGTTTAGAGGGTTGAGAGATGATTTCATTCAAACATACAAAAGTTTGTTTTGGGCTCAACAGGGAGGGCACAGTAAGGATGTTATCATTGACTTGGGATCTACAGCCGGGGACACACAGTCTCAGAATAAGGGTCAGGCCATTTACACCTGGAGTTTAGAGAAATTTCTTCACTGTTTACTTATTAAAAAGTGGATATGGGTATAATGCAGGCAAATGGTGTTGAAGATGATGTCATCGAATGGTGGGAGTGGGCTCAGCCCAAGTGGATGAAAGGCCTACTCCAGCTCCAATTCTTATATTCCTTTGTTTAGAAAATACTTTGAAAAGATGCTTGTACAGTTCCTATAGTACATTGTGTGTCAGTGCATGGAGTGAATGTTGGAGCTTGTGGATAGGACGTTGATTAAGAAAGATCCTTTATTCTGGACAGTGTCAAGTTCCTTGAGTATGCTTTGAGGCACACGTATCAGGTATGTGGGGATTACTCTATCACAGTTCTGAGTAATGCCTTGTAAATTGTGAACAAACTGAGGAGACAGGAAGCCAATTACTCACAACAGAACATCTGGTCTCTGACCTTAAATCGGTAGCCACAATATTTATATGGCTGGTCCAGTTCCATTCCAGCAGCTCATGCTCCCCTTTGAGAATCTGCTGCAACTGCTCCAAGACACACTTGGACCAGGCAACAGGGAGGGAATACACCATCCTGGAATCTTGCACATGACCGCAGAAGCGCCTGCCCCTGACCCTGGCTACAGAGAGTCCCCTAACACAATTGCTCACTTGGACTTTGCCATACCCCTGCCTTACAGCAGAGCTGGTTGTGGTGCCAAAGACCTGGCTGCTGCTGCTATTTTCCCCCCCAAGAGACAATCACTCCGCTCCATCAGTATCCAAAACAGTACACTTGTTTGAGAGGGGAATAGCAAGTTTGTTCTTTGCGGTGTTTCATGCCTTTATACACAAACTTACTAAGCAATTATATATAGATTCCTCTTATTGGAAGAGTACACCAATATTTCTAATTTTCATACGTTATAGGAAAGCACAACAAGAAGGTCTACTCTAGGATTATGCAACCAAAAGTACACTCAGCACCATTCACTGACTGCTTGGCCACATGGTACTTTACATTCTGGTTCCTTGATTATACATATACAACAGATGCATATCCCCTTAAAATGGTATCACAATATTACTGTGGGGATATTGTCAGAGGCCATGTATTTGGATGCATCTAGTTGCTACAGCTATTTTTTAATATCATATGGACTGAATCAAACTAGCTGAAGGACCAACATCTGATTAGATGAAAACCTCAGGATGAAGCCAAGATGGATTATCCACATGTATTTATGTCAAATGTTTCAGCCTGGTCTTTTGCATTGATATGTTGAGTTTGCCATGAGAGAAATGGAGCTGTTTGTGGGGTCTTTTCAGCCCATTAGTCTGATATTTATGGGTTAGGTGTGGCAGGACTCCAGAGCCTTGAATTTGATCCATTATTTGTGGAATCACTTTTTCTATCACACGCTGCCGCCACTATTTAC